AGACATAAAATTGTCTGTTCCAGAGTCATCCGAGTATTTCACCTTCTCAAAATGGTCAATTTACTGTGTAACAGATGAACGTGCTACCTCCAAAACTTGCCTTCTTTTCCATCTCTGCGGGAGGCAGCAAGTTGCTCTCAAATGCCAGTAACTTGCGTCATTGTGACAAGGTGTGATACCCAGAAAACCTTGTAAACAATACAGAACATACTACACGAGGATCTCATAAATAGTTATAAACATTCAATTTTCAGGGTTTCTACCCTGTAAAAGGGTTAGTAAGTACCAACAAATTACATGGCATCACAACCCAGTACATAACACTGAAACCCTCAAGCCTCACAAAATATTTAGTTCACACTGTAAACAAATCAAGATGGATTAAATACACATTAGTATTGTTAGCACTTCTGTGGACACTAGCTCTGGCCATGTGTTCCTCCAATTCTCAACTATCCTATTCATGCATGTATATACTTGGTATACAAATATGCCAGAAAAAGTTGTTAGTGGAACCACGGTTCCGGAGAATTTGACGTAAATACGTCTTTACGGAAAGGAAGTTTATATATTGGCTTTATTCTTAATATTTCCTTTATACATGCTTTACAATTGAAATAAGTTTGATTAAGACATTGCTTAATCAACTTGAATTAGTTACGCTTAAGATTGGTCTGTGGTAGCTGAAATAATTATGACGATATGTTAGTCAGATTAAATTTTTTATCATTGCATTTAAGGAGGAGGCTTTTGGATGCACCTTTCCTCATTAATGTTTTTAAAGGCAAAATTAGTTGCTCATCTTTTTTTGATACAGTTAGTCTCTGCGTACCCACTAGGTCTATCAGAGACTACTCTACCTTTACTGTACAACGTAATTTCAAGACTAGTCCCTCTGCCAGATGTGTTTCTGCTATCAATGCAGTCTGTAGGAGCATCGACATCTTTAACAAAGATCCTGTTTTGCTTACTGATGTCAGTCAGCTTTTTAAACAATAATCATTGTTCTTTTTTATTAGTGTTGTAACCTAGTTTCTCTTTGGCTGTAATTTCAGTTTCTGACATTTTCTCACTCCCCGTTGATGACCACACTTTCATTATCTTTATCTGTCTCTAAAATTTGAAACCTATTCAAAATTTTTGTTTTGATATTGTTCCTTTACCCCTTCCTTATTTAATTTTTTCAAATAAAATCTTTCTGTGTCAAAGTTTTGTTTAGTCTATCTACTTACTGAAAGCCCCTCCCTCACTTTTGCTATCACCAGATAATGGCCAGTGTCACAATCTGCTCCTCTGAATGACCTCACATCAATTACATTTGTCTGCCTTCTAGTTCCATTGTATATAAGTATTTTAATTTCAGATGTTACAAATCTGTGCTGTAGTTTTGTTGGTGAAGTACAAGGACAGACTGACAACCTTCTCATTATGCATCATGTAATGCATTTTGTACAAACATACACATCATTGTCTTCTTTTGTGTTTTGCATATGGATATACCTGTGCTTTTGTACATTCACAAAATAATTGCTCAGCATGTATTTACCTTCAGTTTGTCTGTATGTGTGATGTAATTCATCTCCAGTTGGATGCATTTTCACAAAATTTGTTATCAAAATAACTACAGACTGGTAACTTGTTTTGAGACATTAATTTATCAGTAATGGCAGCAGATGATAAATTTTTTTTGTTAACTTAGTATTATAGTAAATTTGATTTTGAGCCTGATTAGTCATCAGTATTGTCAACCTATGCAGAGTTGTAAACTTCCTCTGATATGTCAAAGTGTTACTTTTTGTATCTTGAGTTCTGTTCTTTGGGAATCTGGTAATTCCTCTGTCTATGGTCTGTTACTGAAAAATGGCAATTTGATATGTTACAATATGCCGCTTCAGTGTAATCGGTTTGACAAAAATTATCCAAAGTAACTTCATCTGTCCATACATATGAAATAGCTCAAGAATGGATAAACTGGTTTTGAAAAAATTTGATATTGAAGCATTTTACAAAAAAATTGTCAGGCCTTTGCAATTTTCATGTAGATTGGGTAATTTTAATGACCACTTTACTTTTCTGAGCTTATTTCTATATATTTATAGATGACATTTACCTTGGTTAACTAAATGATTACTTTGTGATGGGAAATTCTCTGTGATGCTGTCGTGACCTAAGCAGTCACCTTCCCCACAAAATAGTCAATTAAGAATGAAATTCTGGTGAATGCATACAGAATTTGTTTCATGATGTGAATATCATTAAAGATTAAAGATAAGTGTCCCACTGGTTTGCAGCATGACAGTAATGTCACACTGTGATATGGATTAAAAGTAATGTGATACATATGGTTTATGACAAATGAGTTCGTAATTTTGATCTGATGAAAAACTGAAAGCTTGTGTAGTAAGATTTGAGGTTCTCGTGGCAGCAAGTATAGATGGTTGTCTCCTGGGTTGTAGCACTGTGTAGTCTGGGTAGAGGTTTACTTGAAGACATCTAACTATATTGACATGTCATAAAACCAAAATATGCAACATCTTAAAATGAAACAACTCCAGAATCTATATTCTAATTCTAATTACATTGTATATTGGAAAATTTTACAAAAATTTCTAAGCTATTTTGATCTCGCCTTTCTCTTTCTATAATTTTATGACAGTAGGTTATTGTGCACAAAAACAAATTCTTTTTTTGTTTCAGCAGATCACAGCAACTGAAAAAAGTTTTGAGTTTAGGCTACATTGAAATCTTATTTGTTTTGTTAATTTAGTGCTCTGTTACAGTATAACTTTGAAGCATATATTAAACATGTTAACATAAATTTAATTTTCTTTGTGTGTATAATAACAGTGAACGCCAAATTCCTTATTATTATGATTCTGCAAAAACACTTTTTTTGGGAGGGGGGGTTCCTTCTTTTGAGTTAGATGTATCTCCTGACCTGGCTGTTTATATCCTGATTCATTACAGGCATACCTCGCTTTAGTGCGCTTCGCAGACTTGTGGCAACCCTGCGTCGAGTAAGTCTATCGGCGCCATTTTTCCAACAGCATGTGCTCACTTCATGTCTCTGTGTCACATTTTGGTAATTCTCGCATTGTTTTTTTAGACATAATTCTATTGCACACTTAATAGACTACAGTAGAGTGTAAACATAACTTTTATATGCACTGGGAAACCAAAACAATTGTGTGACTCGCTTTATTGCTGTGGTCTGGAACTGAACCCGCAATATCTCTGAGGTATGCCTGTATGGACATCACTGTAATGGACACTTGGTAAGAACATAATGCTACTGGAGACCTTCCTATCTTGATACATATTATTATTACATATAAGCTTCAGCAGAAATTAAGGCTTTAATATGTTCACAGATATCTTTACAGCTGTAATATATTTTTTTGGGTTCTTTCCTTGAAGTTAAAACAGCTGGAGTGTGATGTATATCACTCACCTCTATCTACCTAGTGCCAAGTTTAAGATGTGACCTCCATGCCCTTCCATGGTATGGCAGTGCTTAGGAACAATACATTCTGAACATTTAAAATTTCATTGAGGCTGGGGTGTAATGTGCAACCATGAGAGTGGGTTTCAAAAGATTATTATCATTGTCATTAATTCTTAATTCGAGCAAGCCTACAGTAGTTAGATTATGTAAGTAAATAGATTACATTGTCGGTAAACGTAAAGTATTGGTGCCCTTCCCATTGAGCTTATCCATGTAAGTTTAATTTAGTAAAAACAAAATTTGTAAAAATTTAATTGACCATTTTGATTTTTCTTATCAATAATTTCCTTTTTGGGAAGGGTTCCATAATACTCTACAATTACCACATTGTCATTACACCACAATTTGAAAGGATGATTTTCCCCTTTCCGTCTATCCTGGATACCTCTGTAAGTTGGACATATTATCCTGGAATCGCAAGTGTCCATGTTAGAGAGGTTTTACTGTACATGTGTTCTTTTGTTTTGGCTGAGGGCCTGTTGTTGCTGGTGGGAAGGTTATTTCATCAGGCAATTTGTTCTTTGCGAAAAGAACTTTAGGTGTATATCTGGAAATTGAACCCAGAAGACGGGATCGCTTTACATGCCATCTGCCTGCAAGTTATCTATGGTTGCGGATGTATATGCGTATGTTGGTACTACCAGTTTGCGTAACATACTACTTTGCCAACTTAAAATATTTAATTGCCTATCTCTTTGTAGGTTATGTGGTTTTTAGTAATTCTTGGTGAATATATCATATAAAGTAGTTGTTGGGATTAAGTTTTCGTGGTTGTGGAAGTTAAATAATTGTGCGTATTTGTGACCAATGTTCAGCAAACCTGAACAACTAATTAAACGTACTGGCAAAAAAGGAGTTAGTCGATATGACTACTTACAACAACTAGTCGCCGAATTTCAAGAGACAGATTCAACCGGTGCGTATGACATTATGTTGCCGTTATGATTATTCGACTTTTATTTATGCTACTTGAATCAGAATCAGTTTCCAACATATCAAGTAATATTATTACTGCTTTTTATTCTCTTTAATCTGCCAAATCTAACCTACTCTTTTCCATGTCTTCCATTTCAGAAGCTAAGGAGCAGGTGCTTGCAAATCTAGCGAATTTTGCGTATGATCCAATTAATTATGAGTTTCTGCGCAAGTTAAATGTCATTGATCTATTCCTCGACCAACTTTCTGAAGAAAATATAAACTTTGTCCAGTTTGGTCTTGGGGGACTGTGTAATTTGGCTCTCGGTAAGTCTGTTGAGTGTATATCTTAGTGTGCTAAAATCAAAATTTAGAATACAGTAAACATATAATGCGAGAGTTGCCACATATTCTTCCTCCAACATAACCTGCGCGATTTCTGATAATTCTATCATCAGGCTGTTGATACAGCACACAAATAATAATAATGAATTGAATTGAAAATTAAGGCACTGTTGCAGCTGTATACAAACCCACTCTCACATGTCACCATCTGCTTGACCACCTGAGTGATTGTTTATTCCTTGCTGCTCCATCCATGGTACACCATGTTACCAACATCAGCCTCTCATGGTTGAGATGTGACGCTCAAATGCTGTTACAGTCAGAGCTATGGACAGCATCATTACATAAACAATAAATAAATGGCAGGTTGATTTGCCATTTGATGTACCAAATTAAATTTTAAGAGGAACAGAATGTATATCCACTGTGAAAATGGTGCCTGTTTATTTACTATATTAACAGCAGATGTTAATTGAATTGGTAAATAAAGCAGTCATCTGAAACCTGTGATGCATTTGTTATCACAGCTAATGTCATGCTGTTATTTTTTATTCTCGAAACTTTAGTCACACTTGGAAAAAACTGTTTTGGTATTTTGATATATAATTGAAGATATGCTGATTTGTATGAGTTCAGCTGCTGATATTTGGTGCACAAGTGAAGAGTTTCCATTTTTATGCATAGAAATCCTTCATTGTGTTAGAAATACTTGGTTTAAAATTTTAAATATTTAATGTGTTAATGTTAACACAACAAACTGTATGACATTGCTTAGAATCATAATGTTGTTCACTTGTGTTACCAGAATTTTGTTCCCCAAATTGACTTACCTCTATCGAGGAGACAGGGATTATATGCTCCTCTGAAACATTTGTACCAGTAGCCATATCACAACCCAGAATATTACTAGTGAAAACTTCATTCTTATTTTTCTTTTGTTTTGTAATGTGTGGTGATGTAAATAATGAATAAATAAGCAGAGTCTTTGTTCATAGTTTGCTTTAATGTGGTATATAAATCAGTACAATTCGTACTTAAATAAAGAAACAGTACAAGAATTTTCTTTGTACTCTAGTTTCACAAAAGTGTTAAAATTACAGTGACTGGCAATGTAGGAAGTGCTGTATGCTATATCTTGTATACTTACAACAATCAAAATTTCCAAAGAAAGATTTATTCAAGGAGGCTTTGCTACAGAACTTATATGGGTACCACACCGCATGTGTTCAAAAATTATATTTCCTTGTATTTTTTTTTTAAATTCACTGTATCGGTAAAAGTTTTAGATCTCTTATTTTATGTTATGTAACTTTCAGTGCCAGATTTAATATAAATCCCTTCAAGTTTCAGAAATTAAATGTGGATAAACGTGTTCATTTTATGCACTTTGTACTAAGAACAAATTAGAATTTAAACAACAAATTCTCTGAATATGCTTTATTGGGACTTGATAAAATCATTACAGTGCAAATTGTGGCCTTAACCTGTATACGTACATTTGTACTCTTATAAATCAGAGAGTATTCACCAGTATCAGAATTGAGCTCTTTCTTTGTAGACATTGAGAATAAGGAGTATATTCTGCACTGTAGTGGCGTGCGTATTGTTGCTTCGTGCTTGTCATCACGTGATGAGGACACAGTTCTCTCAGCCATATCAACACTTATGTTTCTGGCCACTCCGCAGTCCAAACCAGGTAACAGACAGTTACTTCACGTGGCATGGAACTAGTAGCCAAAACGTTTAATATATTGTATATTATAATGTATACAGTTCAATTTAGCATTCATCGTAGAAATTCTTGTCATAATTGTAAGGTAATTAAGGCAGTAAATATTTTTAATTGCATAGGCATTTTAGAACATTCATTTGTACTTTACTTGAATTCTTCCTGCATTAACATAAAGTATAAATGTGGACAATCTGTAGTATATATATATATATATATATCCTGCAGTATAAAGTCAAGCAGTTATTCATCTTGTCTGAAACTTCAAGTTATGGAATCTGAAGATCAGACACTGTCATCATAACCCAGCACTACATTCTATTCCGATCCAGTTCAATCCGTTTCATTTTCCCACTTCTAGTCTGCAATATGGGTTTTTATATTATTGACAACTTGGTCCTCTAAAGTGATTCACAGTTTTGCTTGTTTGTGGTCAAGTAGCCAATAGTATACATAGTCCAGCAGAGAAGATAGACTATTTTCACGTAATTCAATTATAAAGGGGTCTGACGATGGTGGATTACACTTAAAATTATTCATATCTTCAAACCCAGCACCATGAAAACCTCATATCCTATGGCAGTCATTCACTCTGAAGATGCAAGTTAGGTATGCGCTCTGTCCTTTTTGACAAGCAGTTGAATGAACTAAAATCAATC